TGAGAAATCCCATATATGTCTCAGTGCTAGCTGTGAAAAACTTTGGGCTAATATCTTCACGATCTGTTTCTTTCCTCATTTGTTTAAGAGATTTACCAGAACATAAACTCAGACAAGCTCTATAAAATGGCACAAAACGTGTATCACCCTCACGGACATTTTTCTTCTATGTCCTGAAGACAGAATTTGGTCAATTGACCATATGCTCCAAGACTTAAAATATTATTAATCATTTTTTGGACTTTAGATCAATGCATGAAGTTAGCAGTTGGGAAGTAGATTCTTAATAATCCTAAAAAATTCTATTATTTTGCACTTGATTTAAAATAAGACTAGCATCTTTAAATGTTTGAAATCTGTGTAAGCCTAAATTGTGTAGGAATAGATTACTCATTACCTATAATTTGAATGATTGCTTCTGGCTGCCAACTGCTGTATTCTCAAACTATTAGGTGTAGGTTGTAAATTACAGGTTTGTTTAAATGTTTTAGTACAAAACATGTTAATATACTTTTTACTACCACTTTAAATTGGTTTGCCAGTATGTAGTTTATATTTTGGTTTTTGATCAGCTATTTACTGAGATATAATGAATTAAACCAGTGAGGACTGAAATTTCTTTTCCAGATTCTGGGGTCAGAAATATATAAAGTCCTATGAAACACCTCTGCAAACCATTTTGGATTGGTTAGTGGAGCTTGCTCCAGTACTTTTCATAGAACACATCTTTTATTACCTTGTGGGTCCCTTCCAACTCAGAATATTCTGTGAAATCTGTGAAACCTATATGTAAAATGTTGTAAAAATTCATTACTTAGGAAAGCCCTAAAAGGGACAGTGATAAGGTGAAGCACAGATAAGCTTTATTATTTTATTTTATTTTAGTACTACAGTGATTAAGCACGTTTCTTTTCCTTTCCCTAGTTCTGGAAATAAAAATCACAAAGCAGTCCAACACATTTTCATCCAGAAGTGTAAACCAAGAGTGACTTTCCAAGGCCTGGACATTGGCCCTGATTTTCATTCTGTGGGCCTATGAAAAAGATGTCAAAAAACACAACAGATAACTCAACTAACCCTCACTCAGCTCTTCTAGGCCTGTTCCTGGGAAGCATTTCACTGATCACTATTGTCATGAATATATTAGTACTATGTGCTGTGAAAACTGAGAAGAAGCTGCAGACAGTTGGCAATTTATACATTGTCAGCCTATCTATAGCAGATCTTATAGTTGGTGCAGCTGTCATGCCCCTGAATATTGTCTATCTTCTAAGTCCAATGTGGCCTCTGGGTTTACCAGTCTGTTTGTTCTGGCTGTCCATGGATTATGTGGCCAGCACTGCCTCCATTTTCAACCTCTTCATATTGTGCATCGACCGCTACCAGTCAGTTCAGCAACCACTGAAATATCTCAAGGACCGAACAAAAATGAGAGCATCGCTCATGATTTTGGGGATCTGGTTGCTCTCTTTCATGTGGGTCATTCCAATCCTAGGATGGCACCTTTTTGCTAACAATGGGGAAAGGAAAGTAAAGAAAAACAAGTGTGAGACGGAATTCTCTGAGGTCACCTGGTTCAAAGTGTTGACGGCCATTGTCAACTTCTACCTACCCTCGATCTTGATGTTGTGGTTCTATTATAAAATATTCAGAGCTGTTCGAAAACACTGCCAACACCGAGAGCTCATCAATGGATCAGATGGGTCTTCCTCAGACAAAAACTTCATACAGCGTAGCAAGATGAAGGACGAGCAAAATGTTTGCCTCCAAAAGCAGATCTTAGATGAGAACACCCCGCCCAAAGACAAGCAAAGCTCCCCACAGCCTGAAAATGCGGAGGCAGAACTTCATTTCAGTAATCCTGACAAGTCTTCAAAGGCGTTTGATGGCAAGAGTAACAGGAAAGTCTTTAAATGGAGGTGTTTTCCTCTCAGCACTGCCCAGTCTGAGCGAGGCCTGGATAAAGCAGGAAAGAACTACATGTGTGCAATGAAAGAGAGCACAAAAGAGAAGGAGCCCTGCTCACAAGACAGTGACTCAAGCGTTGCATCAGACAACCAGACTTTCCCTGAGGTGGTACCATGTGGAGAGAACTCCAGCCCTAACTCGGAAAGAGCCTGCAGTGCTCAGGAAAAGACTGAGAACAGAGATTTCAGAGGACTGACTTACCTGAGGAAAACCTGGCAAAGTCTCCATACCCATTCCAAAGGGAACATTCAGGGACTGCATGGGAACAGGGAGAGGAAAGCAGCAAAGCAGTTAGGGGTCATAATGGCAGCCTTCATGCTGTGCTGGATTCCCTATTTTGTGTCATTTATGGTAATAGCATTTCACGACCATGAACAGTTTTCAAAATTACATATGGTCACTGTATGGCTCGGCTATGTGAACTCCACCTTAAATCCCTTCCTGTATCCTCTTTGTAACCAGAATTTCAAGAAGACATTCAAACAGATCCTTCACATTCACTGATATTGCTCTGAATTTTTGAGCTCAAAAGCAGCTCAAGAGGTCAAACAAACATAATCTTCCAGTCTCAAAGAAAAACACCAAAAAAGTTGTAATTTATAAGCAAATGTTAGTAAAAGTGGGAAATATGCATTTAACAGTTTTACCCATATTTGAAGAGAGCTACTTCAGATCAGGAATCTGAAAAATTCATGGTCAACCTCCAAACTGTTGGACTGTTGTAAACCATTTACAATTTGAGATGGCCTCTTTCATCACGCAGAACAAAACTGGAGGTATAAATAGAGATCTTCAGTGATTATAAATTATTCAGCTACAGAAAAGGAAGAAATAGAATAACACTTCTGTGATTGGCCAAATATATTTTTCTCTTTCAACTTACTCCATTAAACACAGGAACATATTGCTTGCAAAGTGGGATTTGCAAGTGGAGGTATTCTGCATAGTCAAAGAACTTTCAACTGTTTAAGAAAGTCTCCCATATTTATTTAAAGCTACCCCAAAAATCATAAACTTTTTATGAAATGTCAAGTCATATTGTACCCTACTGTATCTCTTTGATATCATGTTTGCTCCATTTATACCTGTACACTGACTTTGCTGAAAAAATTAGTATTTTTATGTCCTAGAAATTTTGCTAAGACTTTTCATGCTGTCACTATCTGTTCAAGAAAAGTGTGCTCCTGTTTCCAGGCTTGCAGTTGATTATACATGAAGTATGTTTACCTTTTCTTTCCTTTATATTTAATTGCATTTTATAAATCTTGTTGTAAATGCTGTAAAATATTTCAGGAGAAACTCACGATAATAGAATACTCTGTGTTTGAAGAGATCTCAAAAAAACATCTAAGTACAAGCTACAGCTGAAATCTGGGCTGGCTTTTACATTACATGATGTTGCTAAGGGCCTTTGTCCACAACTTCAAATCATAGAATAATAGAATCAACTGGGTTGGAAAAGACTTCTGAGATCATCAAGAACAACCCTTGAATGACAAACATCTGTAAAACCAGCTTCATGTGGAAAAGCTGGGAGGCAGCCTTGACAGATGAGGTTCATTCCACCAACTCTGAGCATTCACTTCTTCAGCCACTGATTTAACTGTTTCTAAGTATTGACTAATTCTCAGAACCAGACATGCCCTGTTACACAGCAGAAATCAATCCCCTCTTCCTAAGTGCAGTCAAGTATAGATTAGTTCCCAAAGGAAGAACACACAGTCCCTCAGCACAGAATGGTTTGGGTTGAAAAGGACCTTAAAGACCATCTCGTTTCAACCCCCGGCCATGGGCAGGGACACCTTCCACCAGCCCAGGTTGCTCCAAGCCCCGTCCAACCTGGCCTTGGACACTTCCAGGGATGGGGCAGCCACAGCTCCTCTGGGCAACCTGTGTCAGGGCCTCACCACCCTCATATATATAAATTTCTTCCTTATATCTGATTTAAATCTGCCCTCTATCAATTCAAAGCACGGTATATAGTGTCATATATCATATGAGCCAACTTATCAGGGAGCTTGCAACTTCACAGAATAATGACACCAAAATAAAAGCAGAGAGTACAGACTGGAGAGCAAGAAGGAGAATTGAGGCAGGCTAGATCTCAGGCCCTGGATTAGCCAAGTATATCAAGATACAATAGTACCTTGTTTGTGGCACATCAGTAAAGCTTTCATTCCTATTCTGCTGCTAGGAACAAGAGATGCTTCTCTATATGAGAGAGGCATTTTAAGCAAACACTGTGGAGTATGTTAGCTTTAAGAGAAATCCCAGAACCAGATAACTTCAACAGCTAAAGTCACATTTGCATGTCATGGTGAGTTTATGTAAGTATTTTCCCATACATTTTAGGAATGATGATTAAAGAGGCATCCTGAAGTTTCCAAGTAAAAAGATTGTCCTCTGATTTTGTTGTGATGATGTATTTACCATATCCTGGATGTTTTCTTGCTTCTGAAATTGCTGTTAGCTTAACAACAAACTTCTGATTGCACTTGGACTCCTTCAATTGACTATTGTCCAGAGTTTGGTGGGATGAGCGGAAGGGGTATTCTGTGTAATACCTTTATTACATCAGGAGCAAAAAATGGTAGTTTAATGGTAGGAGGAGAAATTCTGAAATCTATGTTCTTAATTAAAGATCTTGAGCTACTTAAGTTGCTCTGTGCCTATTAAGTAAAGTGAATATGAGAAGACTTACAGTAACAGTGAAATACTCAGGGTAACGTGTGAATGATGCTCATGAATGTTGGACATAATACTCTAAAGTATTCAAAGTATTATTATCCTCTGTCAACACTTCAGTGTTAATAGTTGCATTTAAAGTATTCAATATTAAATGAAGCTCTAATATACCTACATTTTAATAAATTGGAAAAATGTGTTAAAGGAATAAACTTAAATTCAGTCCATTTCAATGTATCATACAAGGTTCAGAGATTAATTGACTTTGGTTTCAAGTTGCATTTCAGAAAAAGTGCATTTAGGGAACTTAAATCTAGGAGAAATAAAGGCAAAATGCAGAGACAATATAAAAGCAACAAAATTTATACCAGAATTCAGACAACTTTTTCACTGCAGGAGGAACACCTGCACAAGTAATAAAATACACATTCTTTTGGAGTACAGAGCAGCATCTCTGGAAACATATGCTCTAATCCCCTGGCCTTCCACAAACAATCGCAGAGATCCACAGCCATTATGTTTTTTTTTTCTATTGTGATATGCAACAGCCAAAATGGATGGTAATTTAGATGATCCCTGAGGAAATAAAAAGGCAGCACACTAAGTCAGTTACAGTTATTAGTACACATTGCTGAAACATATTTACCCAAGGGCTAGTCAGAGTCATCAAGAAGTCTGTTCTCTTGAACATGACAATTGTCTTTTCTGATTTTAAAATGTACTAATACACGACAAAACAACAAAAACAAGATAATTGAAAATTTTTCTAAAAATTATAATGATCATAACAAGGAAGACCTTAGTAAAATTACAGAACGTTCAAACAGAGCACAGCTAAACCCAAGCAAATAAAGTTGCCTGAATATTTTTTATCTCACTTTATTTTTATCCATGATTTTAGTGCAAATGTGTTAATAATAAAGACAGGAGAAGTAATCATGGGCTTCTCTGATGTGATAGCTATAATAGATAATAGTAAAGTAGGAGAATTTTATTTTTTTTTATAATATCCTGTTTTAAATGCCAATTATCATGGTACCTAAGAGGATTTATCAGTTTACTGTACTGAATAGGCAATTCAAAATGGCTCTGGATGTAAGAGAAGGAGAGGAAAGCAAATTAGGGTAAGGAGTGGAGAAGCTTCCTACCACGTGGGGCTAAGGCTCAAGAGAGTATTTCAGGTGTGGTTTCCCGTAAAATATTTCAACGTTTTCTAGTTAATAAACAAGGTCAGAGGACACATAGCTTTAAGAGAACATAACGAGTGTCTTGGAATGTCTTGGACTGGAGTTCTGTTGTGATTAAAGTGTGGTGAGAACAACCGACCCGGCTTTTCAGAGGCAGAAAAAGCCGTTCTCACAATGTTCTCTGCGTCAACGGTGACATCTGGTGGGTAATGGGTGAATTCCGGCGTGCTGCATGGAATGCTGGGCATTGGGAAGTTTGCCATTTAGTATTTGCTTTCCCCCATATTATTTTCAGGAAATGTCGCCCTCAGAAAGGAAACGTAAGTGTAGGGACACAGCTGGGCTTCATTCCATCATCTAAAAGGACTCCATTACATTTTCTGTGAGACCGCTTAATGATGCACTTTGTGAAAGCACAATAACTGAAAATGACTGAAAGACTCGCTTAAAAAATGCATTTCTAATGCTCAGATATTAATATAGAAACACTGTAAACACTTCTGGACAGTTCTAGAGAAGCCTCTGAATTCTGCGGATTTTCCACTGTTATCAGGGATTTTAGAGGACTAGTTCCTAACCTGACTTAAGTTCCTACAGAGAAGGTGTAAGAATATACTTAAAAATTTCAATGCAGGCAATCCCTCCATCAGAACAAGAGTTAGTTCACTTGTAAATGCCAAATTAAGTTTAAATGCTATGCATACATATTCGCTTTTGCTTATCAAATACAATGACAAAAGTATTAATTTTCATCAAACTGTGAGTCTATTTAAGAATTAGAATATAAAAACAACAATTAATGTTGACACAGTGTGAAAAATAACTCCTGAAAATAAGTTTACTCTCCTGATACTGAGTTCAAAATTATCTTGAAAAAATGCTACATACCTGACACCGAAATAAATTGTTTCTCCACTGTCATCTTAGAGTGTAAAATAGAAACAGGAAAAAAATCAAAGGTGAGATGTACATTTTACACCCCTGCACAGACATGAGTTCACATACTAGGCTATTACAAAATTGCATTTGTGATCTCCACCAGTTAGAAAGTACAAGGGATGTACATTTGTGTGTGGCAATGGTTCAAACCATTTCGACATCTGGTAAGTTTAAGTGTTGCTATTTTTAACTGTATTTGTATCCGTTATCATTTGGGTTTGTCTGCAAAGATACCTTAAAAGGACTGCACAGTACCCACTGCTATATATTGACAGGTATCCTACCTGGCAACTAATTTCATCCTCACTAGACATGAATAATCCCTAGATCTGCACAATCTCTACAACTGCTGTGCAGAAATCCAACTCCTGGAGTCTGATTTCAGGTACCCTTCTCCTTCCCACTTGTAGCTGTGCATCTTTCATTAGGACCTGCCTCCATCCTCACTCCAGACTGCCATCCAACTCCTCAGACTGCCATCCGACCCCGCCCGCCTTTGCCCTCCCCCCCCCCCCCCCCCCCCCCCCCCCGCTCTCTCCGCGCCTCCTGCCCCACCCCCGCCTCAGGCAGAGAGCGCCCGCGTGTCGTCATCGCCCCGCGCCGGCCGCCCTGATCACGTGTGTGCGGCGGGGTGACGTCACTCGGTGGAGCCGGCCGGCGATGCGGGAGGTGCGGAGTGGGCGGCGCGGGCGGTGAGGGGATCGCGGGGCGGGTCCCGCGGGGTCTGGCACTGATCTTCCACGCCGCCCCACCAGGGTGCCGGCACTGATTCTCCCTCCCGCCCCCCGGGGTCCCGGCACTAGTCCTCTGCGCCGCCCCCCCGGGGTCCCAGCACTGGTTCTCCGCACCGTCCCCCCAGGGTCCCGGCGCTGGTCCCAACGCTGCCCCCGTACCAGCCCCGCACTGCACCTCGCCCGCCTCAGGGTCCCGCCGACCGCGAGCTCCCGCGTCCCTGGAGATCGCGGTGTCCCGAAGCCTCAGCTAGGACTGCAGTCACGCAGTGTGCGGTGCCGGGGCCGTGTCGGGTGCGGGGCCGGGGCCGTGTCGGTGTGCGGGGCCGGGAGGCGGGGCGGGCAGCACCTGCCGGCTCGGTCAGTGTTTCGGCGGGACGGATAGCCGCCGTTGCCAGCGTAGCCTTTTTGTGTGTTCATAATGACCTTGGGCACGGGGAAGAGTTCTTTGTCCCGAGAATGGGCTTGAAAAGGGGCATGAACCCAGAAGCAGCTTCTCTGAAAATTTTTTACTCTTCAGAGAATAATTCAGGCAATAGTGATCTTCTTTGCACAGGTACCGTTGACATACCCACCTCTGGGCCGCTGAATAAAATATTTTGTAGAAAACCCTACACACGTTAGGGGACTGTGTGAATTCGGTTTAAAACCTGTAATTTCATGATAGTTTGAAATGCTGGTAAACCGGTAATCAGACTTTTACAACAGATTAATTATGTCTGTCAAGGGAAAGATCAATATTAGTAAAAGACCTGCTGTGTTTTTCACTTAACATATTACTTCATGAGATCAGTTTTAAACGTCTGCATGTTTAAGAGCAAGTGCTAGAACTTAGGCTGGTGATAGGGCATCTGTATTTGGGGTTAAATACTCCCAAATTCTGTGACTGGCAGGATATCTAAGGCATACTGGTAAATCTTTTTATTTCAAGCACAATTTTCAACTGTGCCCTTTTGTAACTCAGGGTTGTTCCACATATAAAGTTTTGGATATATTTTTTCTACTTCTCTTTATTATATTTTCCTAGTCACTTCTTACCTTTAGAGGCTGTGTGTGAATTTCTGCATGCAACCTCCACAAAATGTATACATTTTGTCTTCAGTCTTCTAAAATTTGTTGCACAGATTTACCTTGGTTTGCTGATATTGCATTAAGAATACATGTAGGTGAATGTTTACATCAGAATACATTAAATAAGATTTTTAAGAATCCGTACATCAGAGGTGATTGCATGTGCTCTTCTGTTTGCATGTGCATCACATAGTGAGATCCCCTGTTTGTATTCCTTAAGTTGCACCATAACTCTTGAGATGCTGTAATAAAATAAGGAGGGTGTTACAATAGATTCCAAGTGGATGCTTTTAGGCTGGTATTTTCAATGTATGTTACTCATGTACATCTCGGTACTGTCACTGGTTTCTTGGTTGTGTAAAATGTTTGACAGAACACTTTTGTCTTGGGTGTGTCATGGGGGGAAAAGCAAAGTGAAAACATTACCTGTTTGAAAAGTTGAGAAAAGGCTTGAAGGAAATTCAGAATTTTTAGTTACAATAGAGCTTGTCTGGCAAGAAAAGTGACAATTTGATCTTGTTTCGGAAAAAAATGGTGATAGGGAACTTAGTGGATTCATATTGACTAGGCAGCTGTTGAACCTTTGAATAAAAGTTTTATCGTGGAAGCCTTGGCATCAAGCACCCTGTAATCTGACTCTTATTGCTAATGTCTCTATGAAAAAAAATGATTGTTTGCCTGTTTTATGATAAGCTTTCAGTGACGTACAGTTGCAAACGAAAAAATTATTAGGGTTTAAAAGCTATGTAGTAGTAAAAGTTAAATGTTTGCTGATTTATGTTACTTCTTATACTCACAGAAAAAGAAACTTATAAAAATGGTGAGAAAATTCCATGCAGTTAGTTGTGATCTTTACATTTCTAGGACTTGCAAAGTTTCAAGAAACTGATTTTTTTTGTGTTAATAAAAAGAGATAAGCTATCAAAGTTCACACTGCCATGAGTTCCAGCTGCTGCTAAAAATTAAGGGAATGTAAGAAAAAAGTGGTGGAGGGGGAAGACAAAATGGTGTATTTGCAATATGCCAGTTACAGCAAGACATCGTGACAGAACTGAAACATGTAGCTTTCACCATGAAAGATATGGAAAACCTCAAACCTACACCCAAAAAACCACATTCCACAACTTAGCAGCAAGTAAAGAAAGCAGTTACAGTAAAAGGAGAAGCTAAGCTGGATAAATTGAACGTAGAAGGCATAGCTGGGTTACACTGAAGACTGTTTAAGGAAGTGTCTTGTAAGGAAAAGCATAACTACCTTTGACTCAAAGTTGGATATTTGGCAGTTATTAAGAAATTAAACCCACCACTTATTCCTTTCCCCCTGTTCCAAAGAGAGCGAAAGAAAAGCTTGTAAGCTCAGTTCCTTTGCAAAAGTGACTTCACAGGATAGTAAACTTGGAGCAGTTCAATTCAATCCAAACTTCAATACAGCAAAACTGTAGTTGTCTGTTCAGATTAGTGTCAGAGAACACAGCTGTGTTGGGAACCTTATTTTTGACTTTCCTGCTCTAAAATCCTAGCATTGATTCACGTGTAAAGGTAACGGGGGTATTGTGAAGGATCAGTAACAAAAGCCAATTGCACAGGATTACATTATGCAAGCTAAAAAATAGTCTTTAAAAAATATTTAGTTGAAGGAATCATTTCAAGGTCATTTGAGTTCATGTGGTTGATTTGATAAGCATTGGAACAGAACTGGAATCAATAGCTGTTGACCTCCCTTCTGGACTTGGAAAACAACAGTTGCTGGCTTGGCAGATGGATGTGCTGTGAGAGAGATATGAGCTTATGTTCATATCTTTGTGAGGAGTTTTAAAACTGATATTTTAAAATCTTAATGTGTAACAAATCCTTGTTTTGCAGCATTTATGCTTATCTTAGATAATCACAGGCTTTCTTCACTTTAATCCAACAAAATATGTTAAAAAGTAGCTGTGAGTAGTCATAGGTGATACGATCTATTGAGTATATACTTATCAGGCATATCTGCTCTTACAGAATTCTGTTTAACAGTGATCATCAGCTAAAATTATGGCCACTGCCAGTGGTGAGGTGCACCATCCTGTAGATCCCGGAATCTCAAAGCTGCAGTTTGCTCCCTTCAGTAGTGCCTTGGATGCAGGATTCTGGCACGAACTAACCCAGAAGAAACTCAATGAATACCGACTGGATGAGACCCCCAAAGTTATCAAGGGATACTATTACAATGGTAGGTGGAAACTGCACATCTTCCTTAGCAGTTCAGGTTTCTCCTGTCATAGTCTTCTAAGTATTTGTGTAACATAATATAGGTGTTTGGCTGAAACATTAGAAAATATGACTGAATGAGCTGAGAATTCTTCGTGGGTAATTTATAACTTAGGTTAACAAAAAAAGGGTAATTCATCTATGTATTTCAGTTTAAAAGAAACATCTTGCTGCTTTTTGTCCAGGTGATCCTTTGGGTTTGCCAGCTCGCTTGACATTGGAGTTTAGTGCCTTTGATATGTAAGTACATACTGTGGTTTACCTTAATTCCTGCATGAAGACACTTTCCTTGCATAACAGCTACACATAGGTATGTAATATTACTTAGACAAACTCTACATGAGAATAAATATACCTTTTCATGAACTTTATAACAGTGGAGAGACTGCTTTCAGTTGCAAACACTAGCTCCTTGTGTCTGAAGGGCTGAGTTTAAAATATGGTGGTAAGTCTCAAATTCACTCAGTGTTTGTATATATGTTTATAAAATACCACTTTTCCCATTTCTTCGGTTTTTCTGTGTAAAAAAGGCTATTTCAGTCATCCAATTTCAGATTTTTCCTTAGATCTTTATTTACTGAGGGATTCATCGTTGCAATCAGAATTTCAAAATAGTTTTTACTATCCCTGGTTGTTACGTTGCAGTCTTTTCCAAAATATTTTAACATTTCTGACTGGAATTTTGTAGTTTTGCCTTCATCCCAAAGTGAAAGGTAAATCAAAGTTGCCTCAGTGTACAGAGCAAAAACGAGATGAGAGGGAAAATATTTTTTTGACGTGGTTTTAATTTCCAGCAATGCCGAAGTTAGTATAACTAACATAGGAACAGATGTCTTCATAGTTAGTGTCTTGTTTGTTTTAAAGTGGTGGATTATAGAGTTGTAAATCACAGTGTGCCTTGCTTGGTGAGGGTGTTAGGAGCCTGCTGAGGCTTTGTACATTTTGAGATAATTTCCTAGGAGATATTATCCCATTAATTCTTACGTAAGAATATTTAGGTAAAATACTGAAGGCTTATGCAGCAATTGGAAGACAACTGTGACATTGGGAACAGGAATTGCAGGTTAGGAATAAAGAGATGGTACCATGGTGTTTGAGCTCACAACCATTAGGACAAAAATAAAATTATGAAACATCCACTTAGGTAGAGTTTAATTGTTCCTTCTACTATAGTAATTTTCTGTACCTTATGTAATCAATTTAGGTGATCATGAAGAAGTGCCTTTTATCTTTAAAATTTTTTGGAAACTACATCATATGTATTTATGATGTAACTTAAACATTTGCTGTATTTAAGTTTTAGCAATGGCCAGAAACGTATCAGTTTGGGAGAAGAATGTTAAAAAGGAGTCAATGGTCAGATCTATAAATAAGGGAATATTGTAGGGTTTTGCCTAATTTATCTCAAAAAACCCCTCTGTATCTGCAAACAGCAGTTTTTCCTCTTAATCTTTTGTCTGCTTTAGACTTCCTTTGGGACATATTTTAAACATAAAATTTTAACTGAGTAACTCTTTATGTGAATACAATACTGATGTCTAAGTTTAGCCTAAATTTTTTTTTTCTGAGTGAAAATCACATTTGTCATGCATAGCTTATATTTGAACAGAATTTTTAAATCCATGTTTTAGTGCCACCTTGCTTAGAGACAATACAGATGCCTCATCTGTTTTCAAAGTCATAATGGAGAGGTGTATCTGTAACCAGTCCATATTCTATAAAGCATTATGATCATAAAATTGTTTTTATTTGAGGTGTTGTTGACTTGTGTTACTGTGCCTCATCACTTGGTAATTTCAGGGCAAGCTTACACCATAGGAAGCTACTGCTGCTATCTCTGATCGTGTTAAAGGTATATCCAATTCCCAGGGGTTTTCTTCTTTTATTCAGGAACGCTTCGATACCAGCCCGTTGCTGTCCTGCTTTTGGAACGTTGTATAATACCAACACTTTTGAGACGTTCAAATCCTGTGATAAGAAATCACTTCTGGAAAAAGAAGCCAATGAGGTAAGACTAAAAAATCAAATCACCGGTTATTTCCAAATCCTTTCTACCAGTTGAAGTGCCTTATAGTCTCTGCTCCAAGTATTGGAGATACTCACCCATATAAGTAGCCTCAGGATCTACCTTATTCTGGTAGGAATAGTTTGATGTTTGATTTTTACGGTTCTTTACAAGAGAGTGGAAAGTAGCTAATTATACTTTGAGAACTTGACTCAGTGTTCTGCTAGGCTGCATTTTAAGCCTAGCAGGAACTGCCAATTTGTCTTGACATCCAGAAACCAGCAAGTGCCTGGTTTAAACATTGGATTACTGCAATATATCTCTGTGACAAAGAGATGGAGAAGCTCCAGAACAGCAAGAAGACTGAAATAAAGCAAGAAAAAGGTGGCTGTCAAAGAGGCCGGTCTGCTTGCACTATAACGAGCTAAATTTAATGTCATGGCTTGGTAAGAAGCGAAAGTCAAACTTAAGGCAACCTTTTACTGTTTTAGGCACTTCACTTTGACCAACCCTTGATTCCTTTAATTCAATTGATTGTCTGCATGCTGGCATTGAGTAGCAAAATTTTCATGCATCTCTTCACTCAAGACTGAATTTTTTGTGTTCCTACGTCTTACCTTTAAGATCCTTTTTCCACAGATAACAGTGTGGATGAGATCAGTTAGGAAAGGATCACAGTGTATTACTGGGAGTGGTAATTTCCAGACTTTAAAGGTATAGCTTGAAGAATTAAAGCTTTTGCAGCTGTTCTCATGCTCTCTTTGTGTTTTGTTTTTCTGCCCTTTCTCTTCCTTCTTGTCCATCAATGACAGATATGGGAATCCATAAAATCTGGAGCTGCTCTTGAAAACCCCATGCTCTTGAACAGGTTTCTACTGCTGACGTTTGCAGTGAGTAGAGATAATATATCTCATATTTAGAGCATTGTAGTGGAAATGATGAAGTAGTTTCTTTTAAGGAGAAATGCTGTATTACTGTTACCGTATCAATGTCAGCAGGATCACTCTCAGACACCTTATAATGTCTGAAAATATTTTTAAAAAAACCTAATAAACCACTCTGATGTAGAGCTATCAAATATTTTAGGATGTGTTCTTTAAAAAATGCTGATGCCATCTCATATAGTTTCTACAAATCTGTTAGATTACCTGATGGCTTTATACATATTAGTAAAAGTAGAGAAACTTTCATGTTTCACAAATTGGAAGTTTTAATAAATGCTCCAGTTAATAAAAACTGAAGGATTGTATACACATTATCTGTTTAAATCTTAAATAAAAATGTATACAGAGAAGGGAAGTTTTCTAGTATTTTTTATGGTTTTCTAAAGTCATGACACAGTGCCTTATGAGGTAAAGAGAACCATGGTTCCTATGATTAGTATCATTGACCATCAATTATAATTAATATTCCAAACCATCATTTAGTTTGATGTATATTTTTATTATCTAATTTTACATTTCTTTTTCTAGGATTTAAAAAAGTATCACTTCTATTACTGGTTTTGTTACCCTGCTCTCTGCTTCCCCAGTGGAATACATATAATTCAGAAACCGGTGTGTCTTGGTGAGAGGTTCTCATTAAATCAGGTATTCAAAATGCTGAATGTTCTGAAGTCTGTAGTACTAAGAAATTTTGTGAGCTGCAAAACTTAGTATTTTTTGTTAGCACGTACTGAATTAATTTGAGAACCTAATTTCTTTTAAAATCTTCACTTTTGTTATTTCCAAGTGGGTGTTTTGTTTACCTCTGTTATTGTATACAACCTCTCAGCTTAACATTACTTCACCTTTATTCATTTAGATGAGGCAATAATGATTCAGGCAATGAAGCAAATGATGTGGCAAACACTTCTTAAAGTGGCAGTTATGTTAATTTTTTTTATATACAGCTTAATGAATATATAGCTATGTGTTTGAAACCCATTATAAAAGAAAATTTTTTAAAAGGGCATCCCCTGGCAGAACCAAGTCATTAAAATTACAAAATTGTTAAAATAAATGATTGGATAAAGAAAAGGAGTTAATGGGGAAGATTTTTTTTTTAAGGAGAAAAGATAACTATTTTGAGTTTCTTTCATACTACAGTGTAAAAGAACCAAAAAAATCCACTTGCCCACATGTCCCTTTTTTCTTTGACAGAAGTTAATACAAAACCTTGAATGGCTTTTTAATGGAATAGTAATCAATGAGAAACAATTTTGGTTTTTTTCAGTGAAAAATACTTATATGCCTTCTTGGAAGACCTTTCTGTAGTGGTAAATAGTGTAAAAATACCTAACAGTCATGATCCAAAGACAGAGTTTTAACTAAACACTGAAAATGCACCTAGTGAAATAAATTAAGTAGGACTGTTTTTTTTCCTAATAAGAAAGGGACAGATTTAGTTTCTAAAAAGCTTCTCTGACTATCAGATGAGATTTTTATCTCGGTTTAATTCTTATTGCTACATCAGTTTGTGGCAATGATAATAATGCTCCTGTTTAAATTTACATTGACAAATGCTGTTTTAGCAACTTAATTTTTTTATCTCTGTTACTGTGGTTAAAACTGTTGGTTACAGTTGTCTTTTTGCTTTTAGATTCAAGCACTTCAGAAAGCATATGATGACCTTTGCCAGAAAGAGGGAGTTACAGCCCTGCCTTATTTTTTAATCAAGTATCACGACAATTCTGTCATGATATCTCTATTGAAAAAGTGGGATGGTTTCTTTCAAGACCAAGGGGGAAAGGTAATGAGAATTTTAAATCTTATAAATTTTTAATTTTCAAATGGTTTGAAAATTGTCTGTGATACTGAGCTGGGCACAATGGTACCATCTTGAAGGTTGGCTTTACAAGTGATTTTTATGCTGGTTTTCCTTTAATTTATTGTCTTGCTGACATGTGTCCCTTCACTTTTTGATCATTCCAAAGTGAGTAAAGAATTTTGTTTTGAAAGCAAGGCTTCAGTTGATGGGCTTCTCTCATAATGGTGTTTTTAAGCAAAGTAAGGAAGGTGCATTTACTGGAGTGAACATTGAATGTCCATAAAGAGGCCAAACTAAATAAATGTCAAAGCTGTGGCAAATGCTTGACTGAAATCTAGCATAACTATATAATAAATATTTGTAAATATGCAAAATGTGTGTGTAGGCCTTCCCTGTCCAGAATTTTTACATTAAAAATGCCAGATAACTTTTACTGTGAACTGAATTAATATATGTATGAATAGATGGCTTCTCATGCAGATCAATTTTATTTGCAGGTGACGGTTGGAGTTTATGATCCATGTAATTTATCCCAATATCCAGGATGGCCACTGAGAAATTTCCTGATCTTGGCAGCCCACAATTGGTATCTATTTTATTCTTTCACACAAAGCTAATTTATTGGTTGATACCAAATTAGGCGTTTTTCTCCCCATGGCACTTTACTTGTATCACCCATCAGAGATTTTGCTTTTACCCTCGACATGCCTCACCTTGAGTGATTCTGATTTTATATATTATTCTGGTTTTTATTTCTGTGAGCCACAAGTTCCTATTAATCCTAATCCTCACATGAATGCATGTGCCTGGAAATACCTGCTTCAGACCCCGATAATACCCGGTAGGTGCTTCAAATATTTTTAAAAGTATTCTATGAATTTATATCATTTATTAGTGTCAAGTAATAGTGGACCTCAATTTTGAAAATCATATATTCTTAGGTTTTCTTGTAGTGTACCATCTTGAATTTTTTTTGTTAGACAGAAGATGGGAGACAGGACAGTTTTACGCTCTGGTTTTTGGGAGAAAAAAGTATAATTTAAACTGGTTTTTGGAAAAGAAGTATAATTTAAAGGATCAAATAAATTTGTGTTGCTGTAACAAAATTGTAATTAAGCTGCACTGCCATAGTTTTGACTGTCATGTTTTATTCCAAAGCACTAAGGAGAAGATGTGCAGGGTTGGGTGTGTTTTCTGGGCTGCCAGTGTGCAAAGATGTTGTAAGAGCCAAGGGGTTTGCATGTTCTTGGGATTCAGGGGGTTTTAGGCACTCAAGTTCTATTGGTTGATTTGAGGGTTTGAATCATAAGGAGGAAAAATTATACCATATTGAGAACTAAGAGGATCTTGCTTGTGACATAGCACAGTCCATCGTCACCTGAGATGTGCTCTAGTGATTCCCTGCTTTTTATTCCTCTAAATATACAGTTTGTCCAGCAGCATTTTATATATGAGAGAGGACAGGCTGACAGTGTCATTACATAGAACTGTTCACAGCAAACTAGTTATTTTCATATTTTTATATCCTAAGGAGTTGTTTCTATTTCTGTTCTATTTCTGTACCTGAGAAAAAGCCTTACTCAGAATCTACGAGGGACTAAACCTTTATGAAATGGTGTTTAAAACAAGTCCCTCTTCTATTAAAGAAGTTGCATGTCTGTCTCTATTATCTTTTTTTTTTTTTTTAATGGCAGGAGCAACATTCTCCAGACAGTTGAAGTGCTCTGCTTCAGAGACAGGACCATGCAAGGGGTGAGGGACATAACACACAGCATTATCTTTGAAATAAAACTTCCAGAGAAACCCCTTGGCCCAGGTAATCCAGTTAAAAAAAAAATCCTATTTTCTTTTCTCCCTCCTCAATCACTGCAGAGACAGAAAAATAAAATAATCATACCAAGTCATTGCTTATACTAAGTTATTTCAAAGGGATTTTAAATTGTTTGAATTTCTGTCAAATGTCTACAAAGGAAATGGTTCTGACTTCAACAAAGAAAGAAGAGAGCATATTCTCTTTTAATTTTTTCCTACATTAATTGTGTTTCTAATTTAAAAACAAGAAAAGTCCTCCTGGTATCATATGAAATACAAAAAGCCCAGGCAATCAGTATGTTCTTGTTAAATTTGTACACAGTTCCTCAGGTAGAAAAAAATGCATATAATAGTGAATTTATATGGTGTAAACTTTCTGTATATTGCTAAAATAATAAAAGCCTGGAGCAGAGTGAAACTGTTTCTTCAATCCCGTAGTGACATATCCAGATGTATTTTAGAGCAATACATACGTAATGCTCAAGCATAATTTCAGAGTTAAAGGACATTATCACAACATTACCTCATCCAAAAAGTTCTGAATGCTTTATATATCATTTTTATGAATTATTTAATTATATATATATATATATAATTCTCCACTGAATTCACAGGTAGTGTCTAGGGAACGTGAAGAAATGATTGAACTTGGCAAAATTTACTGAGTTCTGATTTATGAATGTACTGAGCTTGACATTAAAGATCTGGAGGCTTGACGGGGAATGGTGCTGTCTCTTTTAGGTTTAAAGCAAGCTGAACAGGCAAGAGCAGCACATGGGACACCTGAGGGCAAAGCACTTCTCTGAGAATCAATGCTTTCAGGTGATGAAATCAGCAACATTTGTGTAGCAACATGCACTGGGTGGTTAAGATACAGATTATTTACTTAAAAGTTTAGCATTAGTGTTTTTCCAACAATGTTAAATCCAACAAAATTTCTTTTTTCTATCCTGTGATATTAAGGCTTTCATTCTTTCTTTTGTTTTTTTCTTCATTTTTTTTTTCTCTCCATATGTCAAACAGATTGTCCAAAAGCTGTTGGATGGGAGAAAAACCAAAAGGGAGGCATGGGTCCGAGGATGGTGAATCTCAGTGAGTGCATGGATCCAAAAAGGTTTGGTTTTTATCTTTTAAATTCCAGTAGTTTTCTTTACTTGGGCTCAATCCGTAACAAGTTGGAAGTGTGAAATGCAAGGAGTATCTGTCTCTTAGGTCAGAATATCCAGTAACATATACACTGGGTATTGTTTTGGCAGTCCTTTTGGAGGGAAGAACCTTAATGGAACAGTGCACTGCCTGCAGCAGAAATCTTTGCCATTTTTAACTTCAGCTTAAAATTTCAAATGCATTGTGTTTAGAACTGAGTGAGATGTAGGCCATGATGTTACAGGCCTGTGGTTTTCACTGAATTCTATAACCTGCAGGTTGTTAATGATAATAAGCATGGAGAAAAGTTCAGCCTTTGGGAATTGTTAGAGTGTGACAGGAAAGAGCTCAGGAAACATGACTTTAGTGATTTTTATCATTCAGTAATGGATTGAAAAGAGTTACAGGGCCTGTTGGCTCGTCTGTTTTCACTGGCTGTATCTGTGTTCTTGGCTTGGAAACACCGTAAGAGTGTGCTGATCTAATGATTCAGGTTAACCTTTTACCCATCAAGCAAAGCCATTTTTGTCTTGCAATTGTGGCAATTCTCAGTATGTTCATACTTCCTTCGAGAAAGTTCATCTCAGGACTCTTAATTATAGGTAAATGTAACTTCTTTATTTTATGCATGTTCACTTCTGTTATTTCCTACAGGGGATGTTGGTAATATGCCAGCCTTGACAGTTGCCATCTTAAATCCTTGTTGAACAAATAATTTAGTGGATACTGCAAAATTTTTTATATGATGTATAAAGGAATGAAACTTAGGAGTCTGAGAGCTGTGATGACCTGGTTGATGAGAGTTTTAACACCCTGTGTTCTGATGAATATAAAAATCCGAAACTAGCTTGAACATGGATTTCCTACCTCATTTTCCTTCTAAAACTTTCACAAAGAACTGACCAGATTCTTTAGGAGATAAATGTAATATTTCATGTTAAGGGCAGGTGTAATTGCATATGGGAAACCAATTTAAAGAAGAAAAAATAGTTGATGGGCAAATGATCTTAACAGGAATCTTGTCTGAGACACTGTTTTTATTTTCATGCTTGCATCAGTTTTGTTACTAAAATTTTAATTTTGGATTGTTACCTTTTTCAGAAGCTCTTAGAGACCTGTTCCAATTCCAAAGGACGTATGTGGCTTTAGTAGCAAGTCCAGAGTGGCCAGCTGACACCTTTTTAGTATATCCAGGCTTATGAAAGAGAACATTTTCCTAGCAAAATTACCTGCTTAATAACCATCTTTTCAAATATCTACAAGTTATTTCTTTTAAACTTCCACTATCTTTCTACTGTTTCTTCAGTAGTGATTTACTCTTCTGTTTTTAAGCAGTGCAGTCACAGCTTTTCTAAGAATATTATTGGGCCAACACATTGGTTACAATAAGAGGTTCCAAGGAAACTGAGTATCAGGAACTGTGTGTGTATTTATTTAGAATGATTTTTGGCATCTTCTTTTTGCATGTTTTGCATGTGTCATGAGTGAACAAGGAGTATAAAAAAAGTTTTTCCACTGTCCTTGCCATGCACCTTATTATTAGGTAGAAGTATGCTTGAGAGACTTTGTTTGTCGTATTACTGATGTGTTAAATCGCCAAATTCTTTCTCTCCTTTAAAAAATAAGTCTTGAACTTCTCCAGTTGAAAAACAAGTAATTGCTTTGTTGGAGAAACACAAGAGCATTCAGAAGTGTGTTGCTATTTATTTTGTGGTCTAGGTTAGCAGAATCATCTGTGGATCTTAATTTGAAATTGATGTGCTGGCGTTTGGTGCCTACTCTGGATTTGGAAAAGATTGTGTCTGCCAAGTGTCTGCTGCTAGGAGCTGGTACACTGGGTTGTAGTGTTGCAAGGACCTTGATGGTAAGTCCTGAGTTAATCTTAAAACTAGTCTGCTGTTTCTTATAAATTCTGTGTTTCTTTTTTTTGTCCGGCTGCCATGACACATAAGAGAAAAGTTGTATTCCTGTGCATTAAAATACACATAATGCATAATTAGTTGATACTATAAATTGCAGGGAAGAGGTAAGATCCGTAGCCAAAAAGTTCTGCTAATAGTAGAATAGCAGAAAGTCAGCGAACCATGGCAGAATAGTACTTGTTTTGAATTTACATTAAAAAAGATTGAACAAAAAATTCTCGTTAATTTTAATGAGCTATAATACGCAGTATGGGTAACAAACAGGAGGAGCTGGGAGCCATTGTGCAGCAGGAAAACTGGGATGTGGTCACCATCAAAGAAACATGGTGGGATGACTCCCGTGACTGGAGTGCTGCCATGGGTGGCTACAAACTCTTCAGAAGGGACAGGCAAGGTAGGAGAGGTGGAGGGGTGGCTCTATATGTTAGAGTCTCTTGACTCTGTAGAATTTGAAGTCAGTAACAATAAGGTTGAGTGCCTGTGGATCAGAATCGGGTAAGGCCAACAAGGTTGATATCCTGATGGGAGTCTGTTACAGACTACCCAACCAGGATGATGAGGGTGATGAATTATTCTACAAGCAGCTAGTGGATGTCTCAAAATCGCCAGCCCTTGTCCTTGTAGGCAACTTTACCCTGCCGGATGTCTGCTGGGAACTCCACACAGTGGAGAAGAGGCAGTCTAGGAGATTCCTACACTGTATAGAGAATAATTTCCTGCTCCACCTGGTAAATGAGCCTGCCGGGGTGGGGCCCCACTAGACCTGCTGTTCACAGAGAGGGGCCGGTAGGAGATGTGGTGGTCAGAGGCCATCTGGGGCAGGCACAGTGACCATGAAATAAGAGAGTTTTCGATACTCAGAGATGCAAGGAGGGCCATCAATAAAACTTCTGCCCTGTACTTTCAGAGAGAAGATTTTGGTCTATTCGGAAGACTAGTTCACAGGGTACCTTGGGAAACAGCCCTGGAAAACAAAGGGGTCCAGGAGGGATGGACATATAAGTCTTGAAGGCACAGGAGCAGCTGTCCCAGTGTGCCGAAAGGCGAGCCGGCAGGGACGATGGCCAGCCTGGCTGAACAGGGAGATTTTAAAGGAAATTAGGGGAAAAAAGAGAACTTACCGACTGTGGAAAAAAGGGCTGGCTACTCATGAAGAGTTTAGGAATACAGTTAGGTCACGTAGAAAGAAAATTAGAGAGACAAAGGCACAATTTGTACTCAGTCTAGTCATGACTCTTAGGGATAACAAGAAGTGCTTCTACAAATTCATCAATAGCAAAAGGAGGGGCAAGGAAAACCTCCATTCTTTATTGGACATGGGGGGAGCATAGTCATGAAATATGAGGAAAAGGCTGAGGTACTTAACACCTTCTTTGCCTCACTTTTCAACAGTAAGACAGGTTGTCCTCGGGACATCTGACTTCTGGAGCTGGTAGACAGAGACAGGAAGCAGAACAGCCCCCCTGTAATCCAGGATGGAACAGTTAGCCACCTGCTGAGCCACTTGGATCCTCACAAGTCTATGGGACCAGACGGGATCCACCCCAGGGTGATGAGGGAGCTGGCAGAAGAGCTCGCCAAGCCTCTCTCCATCATTTCCCAACAGCCCTGGCTCACTGGGGAGGTCCCAGATGATGGAAGTTGGTGAATGTCATGCCCATCCACAAAAAGGGCTGCAAGGAGGACCCAGAAAACTCCAGGCCTGTCAGCCTGACCTAAGTGCCTGGCAAGGTTATGGAGCAGATCATCCTCAGTGCAATCACACAGCACCTACAGGATGGACAAGGGATCAGACCCAGCCAGCAGGGGTTTAGGAAGGGCAGGTCCTGCCTGACCAACCTGATCTCCTTTTATGATCAGGTGACCCACCTGGTGGATGAGGGGAAGGCTGTGGATGTGTCTATCTGGACTTCAGCAAAGCCTTGGACACCGTCTCCCATGGCACACTCCTGGAAAAGCCGCAGCCCATGGCTTGGACAGGGGCACTCTGTGCTGGGTTAGGAACTGGCTGGAGGGCCAGGCCCAGAGAGTGGTAGGGAACAGTGCTGCATCCAGTTGGGATCTGGTCACTAGTGGTGTCCCCAAGGCATCAGTGTTGGGCCAAGTTCTGTTTAATCTTTTATCGATGATCTGGGTGATCGGATTGAGCGTACCATTAGCAAATTTGCAGATGACACCAAACTGGGGGGAGTGTCGATCAGCTGGAAGGCAGGAGGGCTCTGCAGAAGGACCTGGACAGACTGGAGAGTTGGGCTGATTCCAATGGGATGAGGTTCAAGCAGGCCAAGTGCCGGGTCCTGCACTTTGACCACAACAACCCCCGGCAGCCCCACGGGCTGGGGACAGAGTGGCTGGAGAGCAGCCAGGCAGAAAGGGACCTGGGAGTTTGGATTGACAGGAAGCTGAATATGAGGCAGAGTGTGCCCATGGATCCTGGCCTGGATCAGGAACAGTGTGGCAGCAGGAGCAGGGAAGTGATTCTTCCCCTGTACTTGGCATTGGTGAGGCCACACCTCAAGTGCTGTGTCCAGCTCTGGGCCCCTCAGTTCAGGAAGGACATGGAGGTGCTGGAGCAGGTCCAGAGAAGAGCAGCAAGGCTGGGGAAGGGAGTGGAGCACAAGTGGTGTGAGGACAGGCTGAGGGAGCTGGGGCTGTTCAGCCTGAAGAAGAGAAGGCTTGGGGGAGACCTCTTCACTCTCTACAACTACCTGCCAGGAGGGTGTAGCCAGGTGGGAGTTGGTCTCTTCTCCCAGGCAACCAGCAGTAGGACAAGATGGCACAGTGTAAAGCTGTGCCAGGGGAGGTTTAGGTTAGATGTTGGGAATAAATTTTTTACAGAGAGAGTAATCAGGCATTGGAATGGGTTGCCCAGGGAGGTGGTGGAGTCACTGTCCCTGGTGGTTTTTAAGATGAGACTGGATATGGCATCAGTGCCATGGTCTGGGAACCACGGCAGGGTTGGATCAAGGGTTGGACTTGATCTTGGAGGTCTTTTCCAACCTGGTTGATTCTATGATTCTATGATCAAATTCACAGTGAAGCACTTAAAAGTAACTAACTATGCTGATAATTGCTTTCAGGGATGTTTCAGGTTTTGAGGGATTACTGTTAAATGATATATTTGGACAAACTGTATTTTCTGTTCTTCGATTTCCGTGCGAGTACAAGGTTCAAAAGCTATCATAGCTTGATCTTTCTAGAAACAAAATGGACAATGTGTCTGGCATTACTCAAAAGTATTTATCTAAGGCTATTGTACTTGTCATTATTTGAACTCCTTTCTCATTTAGGGCTGGGGAGTCAGGAAGATCACATTTGTGGACAATGCAAAGATCTCCTACTCCAACCCCGTGCGGCAGCCGCTGTACGAGTTTGAGGACTGTCTGAGTGGGGGGAAGCCCAAGGCACTTGCAGCAGCAGACAGGCTACTGAAAATCTTCCCAGGAGTGGTAAGATCAGTATTTTACAACATATTGATACGTTGCTTGGAAGAAAACCAGGGACTTTAAATTGCTATTCCACGTGCTAGTAATTAAACATTATTATGAGTGAGGAAGAATGCTACACAGGTCATCATGGCTGGGCTTCGCGAACGAAGATTTGGGAAGGCTCTAACCACATTTGTTACAGGCACGTTGGTGACTTATGAGGCCAATACGAGATAGACATATCCGATTGCAAAAGGCACAGTAGAAAGACTCTTTAGATGGTGTATTCTGCAAGACACGGTTCTTTCTGCGTTGCCTTTTTTCCTCGAGAGTGATCCTGCGTGCGTTCTCAAAGGAGACAGCTGCGTTATAGATGGTGTTTCTCCAGGCCTCCCGATTGGAGGCCAGAGTAGACCAGTTATGGTGATCAATGTGGCCAAGGCTGAGATGTTGTTTCAGGGAGTCCTTGTATCTTTTCTTCGGGGCTCCTCTCTTGTGGCAGCCGGTGGCAAGTTCACCGTAAAGCAAGATCTTAGGGAGGCGGTGGTTGGTCCTTCATCCTGGAGACGTGCCCTGCCCATCGCAGCTGTGTTCTCATCAACATGGCTTCTATACTTGTGACTGCTGCTTGTTCTAGAACAGATGTATTGGTCACATAATCTGACCAGTGGATGTTTAGGATTGTTTGGAGGCAGCGTTGATGGAAGCGTTCGAGGAGACGCAGGTGGTGACGGTAGATGACCCATGATTCGGAACCATACAAGAGAGTAGACAACACTATGGCTCTGTAAACACTGATCTTTGTACTTTTCTTCAAGTGTTTATTACGCCATACTCTTTTATGAAGTTTTCCAAAAGCACTGTATGCCTTTGCTAACCTGTTGTCTATCTCTCCGTCAATCTTACCATCCGAGGAGATGAGGCTGCCTAGGTAATTAAACTGTTGGACTGATTTGAGTTCTGATTGGCCAATGGTGATGTGGGGATGATGGGGGACTTCCAGAGGTGCAGGTTGATGGAGGACCTCTGTCTTTTTTAAGCTGATTTCCAGCCCAAAGAGCTCGGCAGCATCTGCAAAGCAGGATGTTAAACGCTGCAGGGCTGCTTCTGTGTGGGCAACAAGGGCGGCGTCATCAGCATAAAGCAGCTCCTGGACAAGATGGTTTAAAGTCTTGGTGTGGGCCTTCAGACACCTTAGATTGAATAGGCTTCCATCAGTACGATATCGAATGTAGATACCGTCCTGATCATTGAGATCTGCCATGGCCCTTTGGAGCATTATGTTAAAGAAAACTGTGAATAGGGTAGGAGCGAGAACGCAGCCTTGTTTTACACCATTCTTAATTAAAAAGGGCTCAGAAAGTGCATTGCCATATCTGACTTGACCGTGTTGATCCTCGTGGAGTGAGATGATCATTTTAAGGAACTTGGGGGGACATCCTAAACGTTCCAAAATCTGCCACAGACCTTTTCTGCTCACAGTATCAAAAGCCTTGGTGAGGTCGACAAAGGTTACATAAAGACCTTTGTTCTGTTCCCTACACTTCTCTTGCAGTTGTCTGAGAACAAATACCATGTCTGTGGTACTCCTGTTGGCTCTGAAACCACACTGACTTTCAGGAAGGATTCCTTCAGCTATAGCGGGTGTTAGTCTGTTCAAGAGTATTCTAGCCATGATTTTGCCAGCAATGGAGAGTAGAGTAATACCACGGTAGTTTGAGCAGTCAGATTTAATACCTTTCTTCTTATACAAGGTGATGATGACTGCATTACGAAGGTCAGATGGTAGTTCACCGAGTTCCCAACAGCGCACCACGAACTCATGAAATTTGGTGTGCAATGCAAGGCCCCCATGTTTCCAGATTTCAGGTGGAATTCCATCAACCCCAGCTGCCTTGCCGATTTTCACCTGCTGTATGGCCTTGAGGGTTTCTCCTAAAGTGGGGGCAGTATCCAATTCATACTTTACTGGTTGTTGTGTGATGGACTGAATTGCTGAGTCTTGGACTGCGCGATTGGTACTGAATAGAGTCTGAAAGTGTTCAGACCATCGATTCAGAATGGAGGTTTTATCTGTCAGAAGTGTTTGACCATCAGCGCTGAGTAGAGGGCTTTGTACCTGGTATGTAGGCCCGTATGCTGTTTTCAAGGCCTCATAGAAACCTTTGTGATCACCTGTATCTGCGCATAGTTGAGTTTTTTCAGCTAGATCGGTCCACCACTTGTTCTGGATGTCACGGAGTTTCTGTTGGAGCTTGCTGCATGTGAGACGGAAGGCTGTTTTTCTTGCGTGACAGGATGGCAGTGCAAGGTGTGGTTGGTGGGCGGTTCTCTTCTCCCTCAGCAAGTCCTGGATTTCTTGATTGTTTTCGTCAAACCAGTCCTTGTTCTTCTTGAGGGAGAATCCTAAGGATTCTTCGGAGGATTGCAGGATGCTGTTCTTAATATGGTGCCAAATTGTTTCAGGAGAGGAATCTGTAGAATCTGTGGAATGGTTTTCAAGCCTAGTTTGAAGGTTTGCCTGAAAACTGTCTCTTACTGTGGCTGATTGGAGATTGTTAACTTGGAGTCTCCTCCTTGGGAGACTGCCCTTTTTAGGTTTGAATTTGAGATTAAAGTTGAGTTTACAGCGCACCAGTCGATGGTCTGTTTGGCATTCTGCACTGGGCATCACACGGGTATGGAGGACATCGCGAACATCTCTCCGTCGCACCAGGACGTAATTGATGAGGTGCCAATGCTTAGATCTGGGGTGCATCCAGGTTGTCTTCAGACTATCTTTCTGCTGAAAGATAGTGTTAGTGATGGTGAGCTGTTGCTCTGCACAGAATTCTAGCAGGAGTCGACCATTATTGTTGCAGTTTCCAACACCATGCTTGCCTAATATTCCTTTCCAGGCATCAAAATTCTTGCCTACTCTGCCGTTGAAATCACCAAGGATAATGACCTTATCATCTGCAGGCACCTTTTGGGTAAGGCAGTGCAGGTCAGCGTAAAATTTATCTTTTTCAGCAGGGTCAGCTTGGAGGGTTGGAGCGTATATACTGAAGAGGACGACGTGTTGGTTGTTGTGTAGTGGAAGGCGTAGGGAGATAATGCAGTCAGAGTGACCTGTCGGCAGATTTTCGAGTTTGGGAAGAATGGAGTTTTTGATCATGAAGCCGACACCTGAGAGATGTTTTTCGGTTCTGGGCTTACCTGACCAAAAGAGGGTGTAACCGGCACCATGTTCTCTGAGGCTGCCTTCTTCATGAAGGTGAACTTCACTGAGAGCAGCAATGTCGATGTTGAGACAAGCCAGCTCTTGAGCAATTAGGGCGGAACGTCGCTCAGGACGTCCGCTATCCGCAGAATCGAGCATGGTTCTGATGTTCCAGCATGCTAGAGTTAATTTAGGTACACCTTTGGAAGCAGGTGCATGCCTTTGTCTTTTGATCTTTGTGCGACCGCATTGGAAGAAGATACCCGTTGGTCTGCGGTTAACCAACTGGGTGAAAGTGGAGATGAGCTTTGTTTAGGCCACCTTTTCTAGGCCCCTCTCCGAGTGGAGCAAGCAGTGCTGTCCTTGGAAAGGCTGCTTGGTCATTCAGGGTGCTGCCCCAAGAGACTGTCATCTCCGGTCAGTCTCAAATGACCAATATCCTGAACTGCCTGCATGCAGGGTTGGGTCTGCGGCTCCCAGTGCATCTTTCACCTGCCGTTTCGACCCTCGCCTATCGCTACAGGACTTTTTGCATGTGGGTAAAGCCTTCAAGCCTGCGCAGTGGATTTTTAGGTGAGATGCAGTATGCGCGGAACTGAACCCACCCTTTAATCCCGAGGTTCATCTGCCAGGGCCGAGCGAGCTTGGACGGTGGCAGCGAGATCCTCAGGACGTAGGTTTGATTAGAGTGACCTTCTCTTAGGTGGATGGCCTTACAGGGCTAAGCGAGCTCCATCTGCCCGGGTTTGAGATTAGAGTTGTCCTTCTCCTAGGATGACTGCCAGAAGGCTAATGAGCTCATCCTGCCCACAGATTCATTTTATCCGACCTTACAGTTTTGACCTGTCGTGGCATGGGCGACCCTACCAAAGGCATGTACCATCGCCAGCATAGCTCGCAACCACATAGGGGTACACAGGCTGCATTCCTACTATTAAAAACGATTAGAGTAAGTCTTACACTACCTAGTTTCTGCCATCTGTCTATATTCAATCCCTGGGAAACACCCAGGATCAGCCCTTTGTCCTGACTAACCTTTCAGGATGTAACAAATAAATCCAGGACATACCAAACCTGGGCAGTAGCCGCAGGTGAGCCAAAAACAAACAAATGAGCAAAACTGTTCTGGCCACCGTACCCACCTAGGGCTCGAGGACCTCTCCAGGCCCCAGCCCGGCCAAGATCTCCAAGCCCCAGAGGAAACTATTATCCACCCTGATCTTGTCCTCCCCGCACCGTGTTTCCTCATATCTTCCCACGCATTACTTACCTGACCAGCCTCCAGTCCGAGGACCCCCACAGCCTGCCTGGTACCCTTCACCTCCCCCCTCCCCAAACCAGACCGGCAAACCTCTGTGTACTCCGAGGCTTCCACTCTCCTCTCTCTCCTTTCTCACGAGGGCACAAGGCCACGCCGGCGAAGCTCCCACTCTCCTTTCCCCGCTGGGGGGGAGGGGACCGGGGGCGGCCCTGCGAGCGCTACACAGGTGATATGTTGGTTACTGACAAACCTGCAAGCATTTTACTTCAGATACTCCATAGCTGTTAAACTTTATTGAGACAAATATTTGTAATCATGAAATATAAGTAAACACCATCTGAATTATCTTGTAGCTCGTTGATGGTGAAGTAAAATGTATTTCTGTCTAGTATGTCCTAAGGACATAAATGTGAGATCAGACATATTAATTGTCCATTTATGGGAGCAGGTCTTGAAACTGTAATAAATGTATCATTGAGATTCTCTATTATGTTTTACACTAAAAATTTGCAGTCTTATTTGCCGCCGTCCGAAAGGGGTGGGGGACCGTGGCACTAC